CTCAAAATGAGCCTGTTCTCCTCTCACTTCTGTGGAAGACCTCAGCTTTTCAGTAAACCACTTGAGATTACTAAGGCTAGTGCTTAACTTGGGGTTCATGAGGTTTGTAGGCTCTAGGCAATTCTGAATTTCAGTTCTTTCACTGAAGTGTGAGAGTACTGAGCCTATATGAGTGCCTTCCGGGAAAAGACTTGGTTCTCAAGGAGATTCATGATCCCACAGCTTCAGACTCTTGCTATTTGAAAGTGTGATCTGAGAATTATCTGTACTGAAACACCATAAGTATTTGTTAAAATGTAGGTACCAGGCCCATTCATTCAGAACTTTTTTTGATAAATAACAAATACTTTTTTTTAGTAGCAGTAGGTTGCAAATTATTGCATGGATCATACTTATACTAAAAAATGTATTCATTGTTTATCTGCAATTCAAATTTAACTAGCTGTCCTGTATTTTGATTTACTAAATCTGGTAACCCTAACTGATAATGGGATGGAAGAAACTCCTTTTTTAAAAAAGAATCTCAATGCAAGGGCTGTTTTTTCATAAATAAAATTAATACTATACCACTGATCATTGGACATTGAGATTATATTACTTGTTCACTAAGGCCTGGAATAGACTTCTACTCCCAGCCTAGAGAGGATTTTTACAGTCATTGGAAGCAATCATGTGCTTTATATCACAGAGGTTTCCAAGGTACAGTGACCAGGGGAATAAGTTTTCGTTTGTGTACTCCAGGCTGTTACTGATGTCTCTTTGTGGTCTTAAACCAAGAAGTCTGGTTAAAAAGTTGCTAAGGAGAGGTCAAGAAGGCAGCGTTTTCCTTTCTGTTTTAGAGCAGACGCTAATAACCACCCTTTTGGTAAAGGAACATTGCCACCTAGCAACAGAATCGAGTATATTCCTCCAGGCTCCAGACAAGGATTGACTCCAACGGCACATTTTCAAGTGCACAGATTTGTGAATTTGGGTTTTGGTTGCCTTCCACTTAGCATTCAGCATCCGTGAGCTTTCCACAGAATGCAGGAAGAAAAAGCCATTTGTCAGTAGAGCCTCAGTTTGTAAGAGGCAAGTGGGAAGGATCTTTGAAAAAGGCCAGCAATATCAGTAAGAATGGCTTCTCCTTAGTATATACTTGCAAATAGGAAAATGAAACAAGCAAAATTGAGTGGACTTTGTTAAAAGAAACTTCTTTCTTTCAAAAACTGTGTGGATGGAATTCCTATTTATGTTGCAATTTGTAAAATGACTGAGTTTTCGATGCATGCACAAAGCTGAAAAAAATTACTAGTAAATAGTACATAGAATCTCATATATAAAAATAACATTACTCAGAAGCATTAAATTTGGCCCCCACTTGAGATCCAAGGATCAACTAAGTGCTCCCTAGGTCCAGTTAATTCTGCAATCTTCAAACCCATACCATGGATTCATAATCTCATGGTCTCACATGTGTTTCTAGTATAAGGAATAAATCTTGCCATCGCAAAAAAGAAACTATTTAGTTAGAAATTCGCAAGTGTTTGGTGTAGGCCTTTTTTTTTTTTTTTTTTTTTTTGTCTTCTTTTGCTTAGTAAGGGGACTATCGCTATTCAAATAAAATTCTTTTCAACTTACAAATTTAATAGTCACTCTTGGCTCAGTGCCACCTGTTTTAATAAATAGGCCCTTGTGAGCTGTGGCAACAAGGATTATGTTGCTGTTATAAATATTTACTGTCCCTTACTTGATGCTGAAAAGTCCAGATTCCAGAGTGGCGTAGTCTTACAATTGGTTACTAAGTATGGATATGTTTTACGAGTTTATACAACCTCCATTAATGAGGTTATTTTACATATTAAGAGGAAAAAATTTTTGAACATTTTAACTTTCAATTAAAACAGTCACCTATTACTTCTTGAACATTTAAAATAAGCCAGACATTGAGCTACAAGCTTACATAAATGAGATGGTTATCATTATGCCAATTTTACAGACGGAAAAGAAAGTTTGGAGAATTTGAGGAATTTGGCTCAGATCACACAACTAGTAAGTATCAGAGTTACGCTTCTGTGCCACTGGTTGGTCCTCCAGAGGCTGGGAGAGCTACCTCACCAGCAAAAGAAGTAGTTAAATTCTGTCAGTACTTAGCTACATCTTTACTTAAGCCAGGCTGAAGCCGGTAACACCTATGTATCTAGCCAAACTGCTTCATACTATGTCCAGAGAGAAGGATGGTTGAAATCAAAAGAAATCCACAGCAAGATCCCCAGGTCGTGATCGCATGACAAAAGGTGACCCTACCACAGGAGATTCCAAAGGTCTCATGTAGGGCGGTGGACATTGGGTAATGTTCTAGTAATTGAATGTTACATAACAAACCACTCTAAAACTTAGTGGATTAAAAGAGCAATTACATATATTTTGCTCACGAATCTGCATTTTTGGGCAGGGGTGAGTGGGGGTGGTTCTTCTCTGCTCTACTCAGCTTCAGCTGGCACAGCTCAAAGGCTGGGGTTGGAATCATCTGAAGGCCCATTCCCTTAAATGTCTAGCTGTGGGCTGGGGCCTTCGCTGGGGCTGTCAGTTGGATCTTTTACATGTGGCCTCTTCATATGTTCTAGGCTTTCCCATAAAATAGTAGCTGCGTTCCAATGGTGATCATCTATTGGGAGAGAAATTCAGGCAGAAGAGGGATTTTCTTTTATGACCTAACCTTGGAACTCTCACCCCTGGGGGTGACCTTATTTGGAAATCACATTTTTGCAGATATAATCAAGTTAAAATGAGGTCATACTGCATTAGAATGGGCCTTAATCCAATGACTGGTGTCCTTATAAGAGGAGGAAAATTTGGACACAGGATATAGGTGGGGGATAGTGTCATGTGGCAGTAGAGGCAGAGATTGGAATGATGATCTACAAGCCAAGGAATACCAAGGATTACTGGCAACCAGCAGAAGAGGGGAGAGAGGCAAGGAAAAGATTCTCCCTCAAAGCCTCCAGGGAAAGCTGGGAACCAGCTCTGCGAATACCTTGATTTCTGACGGCTGGCCTCTTGAACTCTGAGAAAATAAATTTCTGTTGTTCTAAGCAGCTTCAGAAGGAACCAACCCTGCTGACACCTTGATTTCAGATGTCTAACCTCAGAAACTGTAAGAGAATCCATTTCTGTTCTTTTTTTTTTTTTCTAAGCTACCCAATCTATGGCACTTTGTTACAGGAGCTCTAGGAAATGAATGCACTCATGTCTGCTGCATTCTAGTCACCGAGACAGCAATGGATTCCACCCAACTCTAAAGGAAAGGTAATACGTCTTCAACATTTGGTGGAGGGAAGCAAAGTTCTGGAAGACAATGAGGGACTGGAAATAGTGCTATGGTTATTTTTAGAAAATACAAACTGTATCCTGGGACATAAAACATGATTGTGTACATGTATACATGCTTAACAATGGGGATAGGATCTAAGAAATGCATCATTAAGCGAGTTCATCATTGTTTGAACATCACAGAGTACACTTACACGAACCTAGATGGTAAAACCTACTATACACCTAGGCTATCTGGTACAGCCTATTGCTCCTAGACCACAAACCTGTACAGCATGTTACTGTACTGAATCCTATAGGCAGTTGTAACACAGTGGTATTTGTGTATCTAATATAGAAGAGTGACGGTAAAAATACGGCATAAAAGATTAAAAATGGTACACCTATATAGGGCACTGACCGTGAATGGAGCCTACAGGACTAGAAGTTGCTCTGGGTGAGTCAGTGAGTGAGTGGTGAGTGAATGAGAAGGCCTAGGACATTACTGTACACTATTGTAGACTTTATAAACACTGTACACATAGGCTATGCTAAATTTGTTAATTTTTTAAATGCCTTCAATAATAAATTAACCTTAGCTTACTTTAACTTTTTTACTTTATAAACTTTTAATTTTTTTTTAACTTTTTGGATTTTTTGCTTAAAACACTAAGCTTAAAACACAAAGGGCCGGCCAGGCGCGGTGGCTTATGCCTGTGATCCCAGCACTTTGGGAGGCCAAGGTGGGCGGATCACGAGGTCAGGAGATTGAGACCATTCTGGCAAACATGGTGAAACCCTGCCTCTACTAAAAATACAAAAAAAGAATTGGCTGTACGTGGTGGCAGGTGCCTGCAGTCCCAGCTACTTGGGAGGCTGAGGCAGGGAGAATTGCTTGAACCCGGGAGATGGAGGTTGCAGTGAGCCGAAATTAAGCCACTATTCTCTAGCCTGGGTGACAGAGTGAGACTCTGTCTCAAAAACAAACAAACAAAAAAACACCACAAATACTTTGAATATTTTCTTTCTTTTTATCTTTATTCTACAAACTTCTTCTATTACATTTTTTTAAATTAAAAAAAAAATTTTTGTTAAAAACAAATACATGAACACACACGTTAGTCTAGGCCTACACAGGGTCAGGATCATCAATATCACTGTCTTCTACCTCCACATCTTGTCCCAATGGAAGGTCTCCAGGGTCAATAACATGCATGGAGCTGTCATCTCCTATGATAACAATGCCTTCTTCTGGATACTTTCTGAAGGACCTGCCTGAGGCTGTTTTACAGTTAACTTTAAAAAATAGGAGTATACTGTAAAATAACAATAAAAACCATAGTATAGTTAATACATGAACTAGTAACATGTCATTTACTATCATTATCAAGTATTATATACTATATGTAATTGTATGTGTTATACATTCATAGGTAGGACAGTAGGGTTTTTAATATCAGCATCACCACAGACACGTGAGGTGTACAGTGTTTATAAAGTCTACAATAGTGTACAGTAATGTCATAGACACAATCATAAAACATGATTGTGTACTTTTTCAATTCCATTATAATCATCATATTTGCCATCCATTGTTGGCTGAAAAGTCATAATGCAGTATGTGACTGTCTAAGTTTTAGCATATTCTTAACCGCATGTTGAAAGGTACTGGAGTTAGAATTCCTTTCTGCCCAGACTAAGTGCTAGGGTTAGTTTCACAGGAAGGAGTTTATTCTGGGAATGCATATATCCAAAGGCAACAAGAGCTGCAAATGTTTTTCCTGTGTGTTTGTTGCTAGAAAGAGAGCTTTCAATGGACTTCAGTGATATGGTTTGACATAACACTAGTGACAATCTAGAACAATCATCCACTTGCTTATGCTATGTTAAAGAAATCTGTGGTCCATGAAGCTGGGCTGTGAGGAAGCTGGGCTATGAGGATGCTGAGGGCTTTTCTTCCCTCCGAAGGTGCCCGCCAAGTCACGCACTGGTTGCCCTGACATTAGTGTGAGATGTGAGGTTTGGTGGTATAGAACTGCAGGGAGTCCCATTCCCGTGTGTTCAATGTCAGTGACAACTGCTGAGGTGCAGCTTTTGTGCTCTCCGTATAACCCTGGCAAACTAAATGATAGTGCCTGGGTTAATACCTCCGTGAGCCCTGGGTTTGTGCACAAAGCATTTACAAGTTTCCCTAGTGAAAAGGTCGTCTCCTCACCATTATTCAGCTGGTTAGCTTTTCTGCCTTTACGTTTTCCCATGTGGACAGGCATTGGGGAAGGGGGGGGAGCACAGTGCTGAAGCCCCTCTCTGGACACGTGCCCATCTCCACTGGGGACAGGTCTCATATTAGCTCTCTGAGCATAAAAATCCTGTCTGATTGCTTCATCTGCTATGTGTCTATGGGGACCCACAAGAGATGCGGGATCCGGTTAGTCTCTCGCAAATCAATCGTTGCCTTGGCCGGACGGGGACATGTTGCCTTCTGCACCCCCTCTTCGCACTCTCTTTCATTTCCCCTCTTCGCGCTCTCTTTCATTTCCCCTCTTCGCACTCTCTTTCATTTCCCCTCTTAGCGCTCGCCTTTCATTTCCTGCAGCGTGCCAGCAGGATGGCCCACAGCAGATCTATTACCCGGAAAAGTACTTCGAGGAGCACTACAAGTACCGGCATGTTATGTTACCCAGAGAACTTTCCAAACAAGTACCGAAAACTCATCTGATGTCTGAAGAGGAGTGGAGGAGACTTGTGTCCAACAGCGTCTCGGCTGGGTTCATTACATGATTCATGAGCCAGAACCACATATTCTTCTCTTCAGAGGAGGTGGTGGCGGCCGCAGTGTGGAGCATGGATTGGAAGGCAGCTAAAGTCAGAAGAAAGAAGACAAGAAAGTTTACATTTGGAACTTGTTTCCCTGGTGAAGTAAGAGGTGTCCTGTTCAGGTGACAGAGCAGGGATGTAGAATGAAGTGTCATGGTGTATTAATCTGTTCTCAAGCTGCTAATAAAGACATAACTGAGCCTGGATAATTTATAAAGGAAAGAGATTTAATGGACTTACAGCTCCACATGGCTGGGGAGGCCTCACAATCATGGCAGAAGGCAAAGGAGAAGCAAAGGCACATCTCACATGGCGCCAGGCAAGAGAGCTTGTGCAGGGGAGCTCCAGTTTATAAAACCATCAGGTCTCGTGAGACTTATTCACTATCACAAGGACAATATGGGGGAAACCACCCCCATAATTCAATTATTTCCACCTGGCTTTGCCCTTGACATGTGCGGATTATTACAATTCAAGGTGAAATTTGTGTGGGGACACAGCCAAACTATATCAAGTGGCAACATGAAAAGAATGAAGGAGAAGGAATTGGAACAGCCATTGTGAGTAGCCATAAGGAAGGTAATGGGAAAAAGAAATGGGGACCACATGTCCGTTAAAATAAGACAGCTTATGTTGCTGGCCAGGTTGACATTGCTCTGTGCCTGGATCCATCAAACCTCACTGCTCTGGAGGCAAGTACAAAGAGGATGAATGTTAGAGATGAGCAGACGAACTTGCAGTTTTATGGAAAGGTAAGTGAGCTAGGAAGTCTGGGTATAACATTGTCTGGATTGACTGGGAGTAGAGCACAGCGAATAAGAGCTTAAACGATACCATTTAGCTGTATTCTACTCAAACACTCACCAGATCCCCTGAAGGAGGAGGGCTCATCTCTTATACCAGTAGAACGTCCCTCCCAAGTCATGCACCTGCAAGGAAGCCAAGGCATTTTGTCTTGGGCCAGGTGTGAGCCTGGTTTGTCAGAGGATCCCAGAGGTGCTGCAGAGAGGCAGTTTTTATTTGGTGTTCAAGGAAGCGTGTGGGTGAACCCACCAGATGCTGAAAGGAGAACTGAAGCCACTTTTTTTTTGAAGCAACTATGAAGTCACAATTTAACTGACGCAGAGAACTCTGAGATTATCAGGCAAGTCCTTGAAGGAAATCTTGCCATCCTAAAAATAAGTAAGCACAGGAAACATAAATTTTAAATGAATATGTTAAATGATTATTACTATGAAGAAGTCTTCTCTGAGCTGCATTCACAGGCAGTGGTCACAGGGTGCTGACAATAGCTTGTGAGGATAATAGGGAAGAATGTTCCTACAATTAGTCGTTATTCAGCACTTCCCCTGTGCTAACGCTGTGCTACGCATAGGGAATGTAAGCATGAATGAGACATGGTTCTTGCCTTTAAAGGGCTTACAGACTATGGAAGGAAAACCATATAAAAAGAGGCTTATCATTGGATGTTCTAAGTGTTATGCTACAGGGTGTCAGGGAGCACAGTAGTGAGGTACTAAACAAGCACGAGAAGAGAGATGAGGGTTAGAGAGAAACAGGTTTTTAGGGAAGCCCCAAACCAAGGCTGGGAAAAGAATGGAAGTTAGCCCACTAAATAAAGGAGCAGCCTATGAAAAGGCCCAGACAGCAACAATAGGACATCAGAAACTTCAAACAGTTCTGTGTATCTAGAGAAGACATGCCAGGAAGAACGTAGCAAGGAGAGAGACAACAGAGGTAGTCAAATTATGAAGAAGCCTGTATGTCAAGCTATGTGATACAGATCTGATCCTGAGGGCAACGAGAAATCTTGGCTTTCTGGGGGGCAATTTGATGGAGGAAGAGAACTATCTGTGTTAGAAGTCATCTGTCTACAGTGGGGAAATTACAGCTGAGCAGAAGACAAGAACACCCAGAGAAATTGTACAATGTCAGAAGGCTGAAAGCTGAGGGTAGAAACCTGACGAACAGCAACATTTAGAATGGGTAAGCAAGAGAAGCCCAAGAATACGACTGAGAAGAAGAAATTCGAGAGGTAAAGAAAAAAAAAAATCAGGTGGCTTCATGGGAAACAGGGAAGAGGGAGCTTTAAGAAGGTAGGGACACTACATTAATTGATGCTGGAGACTAGCAAGAAACTGGATATCATAAAGTTGGACACAATTTAAATTTCCATCAACAGAAAAACAGACACATTACTGTATGTTTACTGCATGTTTCTACATGGAACTCCTATACACAACAGGGAAAATAAATAAATATCTCTATATGTCAACACGGATGGACCTAGTAAAGGTAACGAAAAATAAAGTAGGAAAAGAAAATATAGAATATTATATACTGCTTACTTACGTATGTAGCAGAAACATAAAGACATACATTGCAATGATGAATACCAAGTTCAGAAGAGCAGTTATCTCAGGGTCAGTTAGAGAGTAGTAGTGATTGGGAGGGTGGTTACACAAGGCTCCTCAACAAGAATGGTAATGTTTCACTTCTTAAGCTGGTTTATGAATATACAAGTGCTTACTATGATTTGAGCACGTAGCACATAGAAATCATTGGTGACCACATCTCCGGAATTTTAGAGGCGCGTGCATGTGTGTGTGTTGGTAGTAAGTTGGAGTATCCGGAATGCAGTGGGTGGAAGAGGAATGCGATAAACACAATGTCTAAGGCTCTACCCGCGGAATATCATTGCTCTAGCAATCAGATAAAATTATCTGGATTCTTCCACTTTGCTTCCACTTAACTTTCCTGTCCCTCAGTTTCCCCTTTTGTAAAGTAGAATATAATAGTATATTTTTTGAGGAGATGTTAGGAGAATGAAATGATTTCATACTTACACAGTGCTTAAAATAATCCCGAGAACATTATTTCAAATAAGTACTGGTTATCAGGGAGTTAGCCAACATCATCGTCAGTACAAAACAAACTGATTCACAGCAAACACAATGAAGTCCTGAATTCATGAAACACTCTTCAGTTTGCCAGGAGCCGTGTGAGATATGCAGCAACTACAGAAATTAAGGCTTATTTGTAGACATTAACACAGACATAAAAGATTTAATGACCGCAGTTCACGTTCAATCAGTCGTTCCTACATCCCTTGAGAGCAATCTCTGTGCTGGCTGGACGCTGCAAACACAGACACATTCCTCAGATGTTTAGACTATTTTTTAAAAGTGCGTTGTTACATCCACATTTCACTTTTTCTTCTCTTTTTTTTTGAGACGGAGTTTCGCTCTTGTCGCCCAGGCTGGAGTGCAATGGCGCGATCTCGGCTCACTGCAGCCTCCGCCTCCCGGGTTCCAGCGATTTTCCTTCCTCAGCCTCCCGAGTAGCTGGGATTACAGGCGTCTGCCACCATGCCCGGCTAATGTTTGTATTTTCAATTGAGACGGGGTTTCGCCATGTTGGCCAGGCTGGTCTCGAACTCCTGATCTCAGGTGATCCGCCCGCCTCGGCCTTCCAAAGTGCTGGGATTACAGAGGTGGGCCACCGCACCCGACCACACATTTCACTTTTATTTGGATCGATCAGTAAACACTTTCGTAAACCCTCACACTCTCCTGACCACTATCTAGGGTCGCTGCCAGCCCGCCCGTTCTCAGGAGGCGGGGCCTGCGTGCCGACGCACAGCGAGCACGTTGACGTCTTCGCGCACCGTTCCACGGCACCGCCCACCGGCTTGAATCCCGGCGCCTCAGAGGACTATGAGGCGGGCGCCAACCGCCTGGGCCGCGGGGCGGGAGGCAGCGCGGGAGCTGGGCGTTGAGGGACCGGCCTAGCGTGGGGCTCTGGCCTTGCGTCTTCCGACCGAATAGCCCCTCCTGAGCCCGGTGCGCGGCTGCCGCCACCGCCTGGCCGTGGGTGCCGGAGCGGCCGGGCGGCGACCCAGGGTTCCTGGGTGGGCGCGGGCGGCGTCTCCGCGGCGGGCATCCCCCGAGGCCGCCCTCGGGCCATGATCGACTCGGTGAAGCTGCGCCGCGACAGCGCGGCGGACTTCTTCTCGCACTACGAGTACCTGTGCGCGCTGCAGGACTCGGTGCCGCTGCCCGCCGTACGCGCATGTCTCCGGGAGGGCGTGCTGGACTTCAACGCCGACCGCCTCCGCGGGGTGGACTGGGCACCTCTGCTGAGCACTCTCAAGATCAATAAAGACCTACCCTTGATCTCCATCAAGAGCTTCTTCCAGCCTTGGCTGGGGGACACAGGTTTGTAGTTCCCGCCTCCAGGGCCCCTCTGTCGGTGCGGTGAAGTGGGTTTTTAGGTGGGTGGTGTCCATTGCCGGGGTATGTGTGCAATAGACGGGGTGTGCGGCCTGGAAACTCACCAACTAGGTGAGTGGCTTAAGGTCTCTAGGGCTTCAGTGTGCTCATCCGTAACATGGGCTTAATAACGAGACCCAGGTTATGTGCGCCTTTGCAAGGATTCCCTGCGCTGCTGATGCCTGCAGAGCTCTTAGCACAGTTTGGGACGTCATTAAACATTTGACAGATGTTACCTATTTTATTGAATGACTTTAATTTGCCTGATAGAGAACTAAGCAGGTAGGAAATTAATATATGTCAGCCTTTGTCTTCATTCTTTTTTTTTTTTTTTTTTTTTTCCGAGACACAGTTTCACTCTGTCGCCCAGGCTGGATCCAGTGCAATGGCGGGATCTGGACTCACTGCCACCTCCGCCTCTTGGATTCAAGTGATTCTCCTGCCTCAGCCTCCCCAGTAGCTGGGATTACAGGCCCGCACCATCAGGCCCGGCTAATTTTTGTATTTTTAGTAGAAACGGGGTTTCAGCATGTTAGCCAGGCTGGTCTCGAACTCCTGTCCTCAGGTGATCCGCCCGCCTCGGCCTCCCAAAGTGCTGGGATTACAGGCGTGAGCCACCGCGCTCGGCCTGTCTTCGTTTTTTAAGGTATATATAAGAAGTTTGTAAAGTGCTTTACAAATAGAAGCCATTTGTAAATGTATGGTGGTATAATTAGGGATCCAGACTCTGATTATTCGGAAAATATGTTAGGTCAACCACGATATATGACAAAATGCTGTTATTCCTTTGAGCACTTAGCATTTTGTGCATAATGGAGGCAGCTTCCTATAGAGGCTAGCTAGGTAACAGAAGGGAACAGTTTGTGCCGAAGTTTTGGAATTAGGAGAGAGTATGGCAAGCTGAGGTACAGGACTAGAATTTAGGGTTTGAGAAAGAGCAGAGAGTTGAGGCTGGAAACCTTGTGGGGGCGAAACAGGAAGGGTCCTTGTTTGTCCTGTCATGGGTTATCCTGAAGGTTTTGGGAAACCAATGTACGATGATGAGATGGAATTTCTAGAGGAGCTCACTCTAACCTCCATGTGGAAGGCAAATTAAATTTGGAAGGATGGTGAATTGTTGTAATCTAATGGCCCAAATTAAGGTATAGAGAAGAAGGGCTGGGGCCGGGCACTGTGGCTCACGCCCGTAATCCCAGCACTTTGGGAGGCCAAGGCGGGTGGATCACCTGAGGTCAGGAGTTCGAGACCAGCCTGACCAACACGGCGAAACCCCATCTGTACTTAAAAAAAAAAAAAAAATTAGCCGGGCGTGGTGGCTGGCGCCTGTAATCCCAGCTACTTGGGAAGCTGGGGCAGGAGAATCACTTGAACCCAGAAGGTGGAGGTTGCAGTGAGCTGAGATTGCACCATTGCCCTCCAGCCTAGGCAACAAGAGCAAAACTCTGTCTCCAAAAAAAAAAAAAAAAAAAGAGAAGGGTTGGATTGGGCGTGGGAAGAGGATCTCAGTTTGTCTTTAATGTTTTAAGAGGGGTCTGTGGGGCATCCAAATATGTCTGCTAGGCAGATCTGGAACCAAGATTTAGGCTTTGTGGGAGGACAGGTATTTGAAGGCATGGGAGGGACCTAGATTATCCACAAAGAAGATCCGGATAATTGTAGGTCTGAAAGGTGTTTTTTAAGTGGATATGGATGTGAATATGTTTATAAGCTGAGAGAAAGAGGGAGGATGTGTGATCTGGGACAGGAAATGATTGTTGATTTATTTAAAAACAACCTGACCGCTTGTTGTGTGCTCGGCCCTTTTCTAGGCTCTGGAGTTAGCACCATCTCTTCTGCAAGGACAGTTCAACACATCTGCTTCTGAAAATAAGTCAGATTGTTCTCTACATCTCATTCAGGTGCAGGAACTGTTCTGTACCTCTGAATGGACTTTACTTAATCAAAATAATAACAGGAACCAAGTCAGGTGCAGTGGTTCACACTGTTAATCCTAACACTTTGGGAGGCCAGGAGTTTGTGACTGGCCTGGGCAACATAGTGAGACTCCTGTCTCTATAAAAAGTAAAAAATATTAGCTGGGCTTGGTGGATCTCTTGAGCCTGGGAGGTTGAGGCTGCAGTGAGCCATGATTTCGCCACTGTACTCCAGCGTGGGTAACAGAGTGAGACCCTATCCATGACCCTCCCCCCACAAAAAATAAACAAAAAAAAACAGGAACCAAAAGAAATTAAAGATGGGAGGGACCTCAGAGTCAAGGCTAGCCTACTAGATCTTGCCTAATATTTTGCACTGAATGTAAGAAAAAGGTATTACAGATCATTCTTGTCAAGATATTCTTCACTGAACCTTCTTTATCTCTTGCATCCAGTGGGTCTAGGTTGTAGATTTTAACCTACATATTGCTTGTCCATCCTTAATTACATTTTGCCTGGACTATTGCAGAAGCTCCTAGCTAGTTTTGCTGCCCCTGAGCTTGGTTTTTCTTAGTTCATCTGCCTACTTTGGTTCAAGTGATCTTTCTAAAAGGAAAAGACATGCTTAAAGTGGCATGCCCACACAGGACCGGTGTGTATTGGTTGTTTGTGTTCTGCACAGAGGCACTGAAATCCCAGCTGTGTTCTGTTAAGCTTCCTGGGGTTGGTCTTGAGGAAAGGGAGCTTTTTCCCATTTCCTTTATCTCTTTGGTTCTCCAACAGTGAGGTACATTTTTCTGACCTGCTAGGGGTATCCTTAATGTGTCAGTGGTAGCCCTGGTCCTCATCACCTGTGAGGTAAAAGTCAACTCTCGCAGGCTTGCTTCTCCCTGCCTCTCTGTAAATTTCTGACTCTACCTGCTACAGTTCTGGGCTTTAGTCAGATCCACCTGCAGTTTTCCAGTGCCCGGCAGGTGTCAGAGTTAGATGACTTTGCTCTTGCTGTTTCCTCTGGTTAATGCATCACCCACTCTGACCACATGTTGTTGTTCTCACCTTTCTAGATTCAGCTTCAGGATTATCTTGAAGCCATCCTTTCAGTGCAACTTCTTGGCTTCCATGAGAACCTCTATGTAGGTAGTTTGATGTATCTCATGTGGCTTGAGTTTACATGTGTCTGTCCTTAAGAGGCCTTTAAGGACATGGCTCATTTCTGTGTCTTAGCACAGAGCAGATGTTTTTGAATGATACATTGTATGATTGAAGTCACTAACTTTCCTTTATCTTTGTTTTAGGTTCTGACATAAATAAATTTTGCAGAAGTCGTGTTCCTGCGATAAGATACAAAGATGTGACCTTCCAGTTGTGTAAAGCTCTTAAAGGCTGTTTAAGTATATCAAGTGTGCTAAAGAACCTGGAGCTAAATGGACTAATTCTGAGAGAGAGGGATTTAACTATTTTAGCAAAGGTAAGCTTTGTCTAATTTGGCCTGTAGACATTTGATAGTTGCTTTTGGAGGAAAAAAAACCTCAATAACATTTTTAACTTTTCCCCCTCATTAAAGGGATTGAATAAATCGACTTCTTTGGTGCACCTGTCTCTTGCAAATTGTCCAATTGGAGATGGAGGTTTAGAAAGTGAGTTTAAATCTCATTTAACTCTTGTCCTGTCAGGCCGGTTTCATGTTTCCCTACATGCCATGTTAATTCCCGTCTGTACCTTTATCTTACTACTGCCTCATGTGCTTGTTCAAACCTTGGTCCAGTCTCAAGTCTACCATGAAAGCTTGGCATGCTGAATATAATCTGAACTAACTTTACTTACGTTTGTGTTAAACCACACACCACACAGATATATACCATCTGGTGTTCTCTGTTTTTTGTGTTTGTTCATATTTTAGAGTTTTTCTTCAAGAAATATTTATGGGAAGGAAATAGCAAGATGTAAAGAGGCCGGGCGTGGTGGCTTACGCCTGTAATCCCAGCACTTTGGGAGGCCGAGGCGGGTGGATCATGAGGTCAGGAGATCGAGACCATCCTGGCTAACATGGTGAAACCCCGTCTCTACTAAAAAAATACAAAAAAAATTAGCCGGGCGTGGTGGCGGGCGCCTGTAGTCCCAGCCACTCGGGAGGCTGAAGCAGGAGAATGGCATGAGTCAGAGGTTGCAGTGAGCCGAGATTGCACCACTGCACTCCAGCCTGGGCAATAGAGCAAGACTCCATCTAAGAAGAAAAAAAAAAAAAAGAGAAAAATCATCATTATTTTAAATAATTAAAACATATATACAATCAATTTTAATGCGCTGTGGTATGTTCCAAAATAGGAAATATAGGGAAAGTGCTGTATGGGAGCATATAAAAGGCTGGCAGACTCGGGGAAGGGGGTGGGGTGTTGGAAATATTCACAGAAGGTGACTGTTGGTTGGGATCCTGAAGTCTTGACCTGTGTTCATTGTGTGGAATAGTGGTCTGGAGGGGTAAGGAAGCCTGCAATTCAATTTGAGGGAGCAGAGAGTTTAAAGGCCTCTGTCTTCTATTGTTCTAGTACATTAGATGCTCTAGTGTAGCACCTAATACAATTCTGGGTTTATAGTTGACACTGAATTGTTGGTTGATAACAGATTGAGGTCTGCTGTTGGAAATGAAAATAGGAAGAGTTTTGTGTTTTTTATGTTTTTCTTTCAGATGTCTCAAAAAGTATGTAGAACTGTACTGTGGTCGGGAGTAAGGTTGCAATATTCAGTCTATTCAATTTTGGCATCTAAATAGAATTGAGCTATTGCAATAAACTGGAGTAACACTTTGTTACTGACATATTTTAGAATGGACCAATCAGTTGCCTAGGTAGATTGTAGATAGTGATTTTAAGAATACAACTATAAAATAGAAAAGATACAAGAAGAGCAAATAAATCAAGATTGACTAGGTTGTATAGACTCTTCGTCTTATTGTATATGGTTTTTTTTCCATTTTAGTTATTTGTCAAGGTATAAAGAGCTCTATCACTCTTAAGACAGTCAACTTCACAGGATGTAATCTGACATGGCAGGGAGCAGATCACATGGCCAAGATCTTAAAGGTAACTTTATGTTCCAACTTTCATGAAAATGTGTTATATGATTGCCACACATTAATATTTTGATACAAGACAGCAGTTATTTTTGTCTTTTGATACATACAGGGATTGCAGTTTTAGTTTTGTTTAAAGAATATGACCGATTTTCAGACTGGAGTTCTACCATTTAGTAAAAGTAGTATGCTTAATCTTAGAAATAGGAGATCTAAAACATAATAATTATGTTTTTCTGTAAATGTGGTTTGTGGAGTGGCCAACGGCCTGCAGAGCAACATGCCCAAGTTTTATTGTGACTACTGTGATACATACCTCACCCATGACTCTCCATCTGTGAGAAAGACACACTGCAGTGGAAGGAAACACAAAGAGAATGTGAAAGACTATTATCAGGAATGGATGGAAGAGCAGGCTCAGAGCCTGATTGATAAAACAACGGCTGCATTTCAACAAGGAAAGATACCTCCTACTCCATTCTCTGCTCCTCCTCCTGCAGGGGCCATGATACCACCTCCCCCCAGCCTTCCGGGTCCTCCTCGCCCTGGTATGATGCCAGCACCCCATATGGGGGGCCCTCCCATGATGCCAATGATGGGCCCTCCTCCTCCTGGGATGATGCCAGTGGGACCTGCTCCTGGAATGAGGCCGCCCATGGGAAGCCACATGCCAATGATGCCTGGGCCCCCAATGATGAGACCTCCTGCCCGTCCCATGATGGTGCCCACTCGGCCCGGAATGACTCGACCAGACAGATAAGGATAGAGGGGAGGCTTCATTGTATCAGTTTTATATTACCTGTTCTGCTTCACCAGGAGATCATGCTGCTGTGATACTGAGTTTTCTAAACAGCATAGGGAAGACTTGCTCCCCTGTCCTATCAAAGAGAGAATAGTTTTGGGGGGGAGAAGTGGGACAAAAAAGATGCAGTTTTCATTTATATTGGGAAATGTGAAAATAAAATTGTCAACTCTTTCAATTAAAAAAAAATGTGGTTTGTAAAACAATAATTTTAAAGGTGTCTTAACAACTTTATAGTGGTTATTACTACTGTATTTAGGATAAAATTACATAATAATGTGACATGAAGCCTTTTTAGTAATTTGATGGTATAGACCAGGGGTAGTCAAACTATGGCCTGTGGACCAAATCTAGCCTGTGATCTGTTTTTGTAAATAAAGTTTTGAAACATAGTCATGCACATTTGTTTACATATTAACTATTGCTACACCCTACACTAGGAAAGTTGAGTCGCTGCAAAAGAAACTATATGACCCACAGAGCTGAAAATGTTTACTTTGGGGCCTCTACAGCCCAAGCCCACTCTCCCTGGGATAGATAATGGTTACACATGTGGATTCTGAAGCCAGATGGCCTAGGTTAAAACCCAAGCTCTCTCCCATTTAATAACTTGTGACCATGGGCAAATTACTTAACCTCTCTGTGCCTCACTTTTCTCATCCGTAAAATGTGTATAGTAAGAAAACCTGTGTCTATCATTCTTAGGATTTAATGACCTAATGTGTATAAAATAGTGCTTGGCTATCTAAGTGTTTGCTGTTATTTCCTCTTATTGCTTTTATACAGTTATTATGAATAGCAAATGACACAATTTTCATTTGACAGAGTCATAGGAACTTTGAATCTTCTGTTGTTTTAGAATGTAATAAGATTTTTTTTCTCTTAAAATCAGTGTTCCCTGTTACCAAAATTTACTTTATGGATATAGAGAAGTGATTATGTCTTTAAGATAGTACCTGTGGTTAAAACTCAAACCACCAATTTCCTAAGGCATATCAGCCTTGCTTTGTATATTCTAGGCCTCTAAATTTGGTGTGCATACCCTAAGAAATATGTGAGATCCCTTGGGTTAGGAGAAGAAAATATTAACCTCTATATTTTTATATCATTTAAAAAATATCTGTTGTTTCTGTTTGGTTTGTAATATACATAAAATATGTATGTAGAACTTCCTGTATATAGTTTATTAATAAATAACATATATGTGTAATGTTTACCTGTGGGATATCCAGTCAAGTGTTTAGAGACCACTAGAGGACAGAATGATATAGTTTAGAGGCTTGGCAATGATAGAATTTAGAACCAATACCTTCACTTGGCGTGTAAAGAAAATAAAATTCTTAGAAGTTAACTAAGTTGTCAGTTTACGTAAAATAATCAGTAACAGGTCATTAGTGGTTAGGGTCACACAGCTAGTCAGTGGCAGACTAGGATCTGGGTCACTGGACTCCTCACTCAAAATCTACTATTTAATCAGTCTCTCAGATTAACCCACCTGGCATATGTACCTGGTGTGTGTGTAAAACTCTGATGTAATCAGCTGTACTTGGTTCCTTTTGGTGTTCCTATCTCTTTATTCAAGTGTATTAATTTCATCTTACTAAATCTTTAAAGTATCAGACCATGAGAAGGCATGAAGAAACCTGGGCTGAGAGTCTTCGCTATAGGAGACCTGATCTTGACTGTATGGCTGGCTTAAGACGTATCACATTGAATTGCAACACACTCATTGGTGACCTAGGTGCAAGTGCTTTTGCAGACTCTCTCAGTGAGGATTTATGGCTGAGAGGTAAGTTAAATGAACTTGTAAGATGGAAAATATTGAATTTTTTGATATTAAATATGCTTCACTCTTGGCACAGTAATGTTGTCCTAAGGTTTTTAAAAAAGCCTCTTTTTTCTAATAGGTTTTATTTTGCTTTTAAGCCTTTATGAAAGTTACATATATTCTTTATAGAAGATACCAAGTAACAAAAAAATAATACTACGTATAATCTCAATGCCTAGAGATAAACTGTTCATTTTGGTGTGTATACTTTCAGTATTGTTTTTTCCTGCACGTGTATTTGTGTGCTTAGAGTTACAAGAACAGAACTATAGTGCACTTACCATTTTGTAACCCTGCTTTTTTTATTTAATGATGTATCACGTAGTACTCTATTACATTGAGGCACAATAGTTTAATTCCCTGCTATTTGATATTTAGACAGTTTATGCTTTTCCCCTATTATAAACAACTCTGTAGTAAACTCCTTATGTATACATCTCTGTGTCCATTGAAGTTACTTTTGTTTTTTGGAGACAGGGTCTTTCTCTGTTGCCCAGGCTGGAGTGCAGTGGCGTAATCATACCACACTGTAGCCTTAAACTCCTGGTTCAAGTGTCCTCCCACTTTACCCTCCTGAGTAGCTGGGACTACAGGTGCACACTACCACGCCAGGCTAATTTTTGTATTTTTGTGGAGACATGGTCTTGCTGTGTTGCCCAGGCTGGTCTCAAACTCCTGGGCTCAAACAGTTCTCTCGCCTTGGCCTCCCAAAAGTACTGGATTTCAGGCACGAGCCTGAATTTACTTCTGTAAGATAAATTACTAAAGTCAAGTAACTCAGTATAATGTATTTCTTAAAGACTTTTGATACATGTCACCAATTTGCCTTCCAGAAATGTTGTGCCATATTATAGTCTCATAAATGCTGGATTGTGTCTATTTTAAAACCTTAAACTTTACAGAAATGAGAACTCCCTGCTTTTTCTTTTTTAATGCAAATGGGATTGCTCTGTGAATTTTATCACTTTTTTCACTTAGTATAGCATATCTTAAATCAATAAGTTTACATTTACCATATTATTTTTAGTGCCTCTTCAGAGTTCCATTATGTTAATATGCCATAGAACACTTAGCTTATTCATTCCTATTAGATATATAAGCTATTTCCAATTTATCATTGTTATAAACAGTACTTTAATACGTGTCCTTGTCCGTGTCTCTTATTATTTCCTTCTGGCAAATTCTTAGAGGGAGAGTTGCTGTGTTAACAGAGTCTGCACATTTTAAGGGTTTTTTTAAAAATGTGACCTTCACCAATCTGATAGAAGCATGATCACATTTAATTGTTTTAGTTTATATTCATTTGATTTACTAGTGAGATTTACTGGCTATTTTTATTAATTTGGCTAGTTGGATAATTGCATCCTATGCTCATTCTTCTGCAGCAAGAGTTTGTAAAGGTTGTACCATATTCTGTCAGATCCATATATCTGACTTATTTCTGTGTGTCTTGTGGTGTCTTAGGGCTTCATAGAATATTCTATGGTACTCTGTTATAGAAGCATATGACAATTATATTCTAGGTGACTTAAAGAGAAGGCATTCATTTCTCACAGTTCTGGAGGCTGGGAAGCCCAAGATCCAGATGCCAGTAGATAGCTGTCAGGTGAGGGCATTCTCCCTAGCTTATGGAAGACTTTTGTATCCTCAAATGGTGGTGAGAGAGAGCTGTAGTCTCTTTTTTTTTTTTCTTATAAGGACTTTAATCCGATTATGAGGGCTCCACTCTCAAGACCTCAACTAAACCTAACTACCTCTCAAAGGCCCCACTTCCTAATACTACTACCCTCTTGGGGTTAGGGTTTCAATATGCATTTTTGGGGAATACAGACATGTAGTCCATAACATGAGGTTTTGAAAGACTTCAGTTCTTTTAATGTAATGGTATACACAGTGCTTTTGCTCTGATGTAATCTTTTTTATACCTGTACTTTTGTGATAATCCTTTTGGGTTTAAATGAGTAGATTGTTCAGCCTCAGTGTTACTAGTATTCATGAGCATTTGTTTAGTTCTTTGACCTTTTACTTGAGGGAGAGTTCGTGACCATCATTTTTTCCTGATAGGTTTTTAGTATATAATCTCTATTCACACATTCTTTGCATTCATTATTTCTATCCCCTTAGAGTTCTTTCTTTGTCATTTTTATTCTAAAACTAACAGTTCTTACCTTTTTCTATTTTCTTTTCCCTTTTTTAATGTCATTTTTTGAGAGTCACTTGGAGTTTGAATTTGAATTTGATGATGAATCTAGTGCAATTTCTGAGCTCCACCCAGTTTTTGCCTATGAGGTTTACACTGTCACTAGCATTCTTGTTAATTATGAACAGATATTCATCCTGTGATGTTTTATATAGAGTTATTTTTCAACTCTGTAATTGTAAAATATGTTGGGTAATTTATTGGTGCTAAAGGGAGGGTAATCATGGCACATCTAAGAAGAGGGTTTCTTTTTTGTTTTGTGTGTGTGCATGTGGTTTTCTATTTTTTATTTTTTCGATACCCAAGATTGAAAACTGGCCATGAGTAGTCTTGGGCAGGAGTCTTCCAGGTGTGATTAAGTGGGAGTTGTCTGTATGTTAAATCTGTATAGAATTGGCCGGGAGAGGTGGCTCATGCCTGTAATCTCAGCACTTTGGGAGGCCGAGGCAGGCAGATCACGAGGTCAGGAGATTGAGACCATCCTGGCAAACATGGTGAAACCTTGTTTCTACTAAAAATACAGAAAAATCAGCCGTGCGTGGTGGCGGGCACCTGTAGTCCCAGCTACTCGGGAGGCTGAGGCAGGAGAATGGCGTGAATGCGGGAGGCAGAGCTTGCAGTGAGCCGAGATAGCACCACTGCACTCCAGCCTGCGCAACAGAGCGAGACTCCATCTCAAAAAAAAAAAAAAAAATCTGTATAGAATTAGCAAGTGACCTTTTGTCTTTTCTTGAAAGCTCTTGACCTGCAACAGTGCGGCCTCACCAATGAAGGAGCAAAGGCTTTGCTAGAGGCCCTTGAAACCAATACAACTCTGGTCGTTCTGGATATAAGAAAAAATCCACTCATTGGTATGTCACTACAATATTTTTTATTGACTAACAAATAGCAAAACAAAAATAATTTCTCATGTATTGACAGTTTCGAAAACATAATGTGTTTGCTTTCCTAATCTTACTCTTTTCTAATCTTGCACTTTCTTATGTTTATAGTAGATAATTTACTGATGAAAAGAGTTATACTTATATTGCTCTTGGCTGCTACTCTGAATAGAAGTGAACCTAGATAATAAATCTGCTTCCACCAAGTGCATTATTTTCTTCCTGTAGAACTTCTGAATTCTTGGAAATAGTATTTCATTCATTTGTTGATTTGACAAGTAATTTTTGAATACTTCTATCTGCTAGATACTGGTTTAGGCACTAAACATGTAGCAGTAAACCAGCTAGACAAAGTCTTGGTCTCCTAGAGCTTACATTCTAGTGGGGGAGTTATATCAGAACTCAGATAGGTAATGTAATTTAGATAGTAGGAAGTGCAAAAATACATTAAGGTAAGAAGACAAATAGGGACAGGTGGGACTATATT